ACTCCAGCATTTAAATTTGAATAAATCTTTCTTGTACCATCGCTAGTTACCGCGATACTGGTAGCGTAGCAACTCTTTAGCTCTTTTGAATATATTTTCTTTCTGTTGCGGTGTAAGTCATTTTTCAATATTTGCCGAATGGAATATATCCCAATTTGTTCAGCTCACGAGCAATTTTTCGGCCACATCGACGTGAGTTTCGATCAAGTCGCTTCTTTACTTTTCGAACCATTTCTGCTGATGTTGCTGTTTTCTTTCTTCCACTTCATTGACTTCGTGCTACGCTACCAGTATCAGTATCACGATAACGAGCGATGGTACGAGACACAAAAGATTTATTCACATTTAAATGCTGGAGTGCTCTAACGATATCCACTTGTGGTTTTAAACAATAAATTGAGCTGTCAGTGGAATAATTTTAACAGCTGTCGGAAGAGTGGCTTAGAAATGACAGCAGTCTGAAGTTGGTTGCAGTTTTTTCATCTAATCCTGTATATATATATATAGACATAAATACTCTACAATTCAGAACAGCGATACTCTAAATAATTTTTGAGTTAACTACCGAAATTATAAGGATTTTAATTTAACGATCTTTGTCTGTATAGATGAAAAAAATGACGTAAAGAATCCTCTCACTACAGTGGATTTATTTGAAGAATAACTAATGCATATGACAATTTTAATCCAAATCCAGTGGGGTTTTGGATTAAAATGGTAGAAGAATGCAGGTAGACGCATCAATGCTTGGGAACATTGATATGTCAAAAAATTTAAATGTTTTTTCAAAGATAAGCAGATTTTTATATGTTTTCTTATACGGCGTCATTCGGAGGTTATTATAATTCGCATTTTTCAACATTTTTTACATATTTAAAAAACATTTTCATTCAACACTTTCAATTCCAAAATCGGTTTGACAGTTAATTGTCCGAGCAGCTGTGTCAATGCTACTACCTGTATTCTTCTACCATTTTAATCCAAAACCCCACTGGATTTGGATTAAAATTGTCATATGCATTAAATATTCTTCAAATAAATCCCCTTAAATTAGGCTAACCCTGTAATGTAAACGTACTGTTACTTTCTGTAATTCAAAACCATAAACGTACCGGACTAAGTAAGCCCAGTGGATTTAAATTATCAATCAATTATCATTATCATTCCATATACATACATCAAATAAATCCTCAAAAAAAGTTAACCCGGCAAAAAAACTCTAATGTGAACATACTGTTAGTTTTAAGCAAGACCGCAACTTTTCAGCCCTTCTTTAAGAAATATCTTATATGTTGTTATAATTTCGTATTTTCATCAATGTATTTGTTTTATTTAGTGTTATTAATGTCATTATTTACAGGATATCGAAATGTTTTACATTTATATACATATATACTTGCTTATGTGTGTGTGTGCATGTCATGTACCTGAATTAGTCAATGTACTTTGCTACAATTTTCTCTAATGGTTTTTTAGTGTTGAAAGTGCTCTCCCTGCTGCTCTCTTTGGTTCTGATATCATCTGAATGTAACAAATGGCCATACTATGTAAATAAGTATGTGTGTGTGTATGTTTGTGTATGCCCATGTGGGGGTTTTTATTTTCTCAGTTGGGGAAAAATCAAAGTTTTATTCTTTGTTTGTGTGTGTGTGTGTTTCAGTTCCCAGCGACTTGTTTTTTTAACACAATCAAAAATGAACACACTTGTATGTGTATTGTTGTAATAAAACAATTATTAATCACCGTGTTTCAAACAGTGTGGAACAAAATGATAGCATAGAGTGCATGAATATAGGTAGACGCGTCGACACAGCTGCTGCGACATTGGACTGTAAAACCAATTTTGGAATTGAAAATGTTGAATGAAAAATTATTTAAATTTGTAAAAATTTTTGAAAAAACGCGAATTTTAATAGCCTCCGACTGACGTAGTATAAGGAAACATATAAAAATCTACTTATATTTGAAAAAACATTTAATTTTTTTGATATATCAATGCTCCCAAGCGTTGATGCATCTACCTGTATTCTTCCCCCATGATAGAGTGTTTAAAATAGCCTACAATTATTATAAATGCAGTGGATTTCATCTGAGTTATAAAAAATATTTACTGGAATTCAGATTTGACATATATCATGGTACAAGAATACGGGTAGATATATCAACGCTTGGAAACTTTGAGATGTCAACAATTTTTTAATGTTTTTTTTTTTAATAAATAGATGTGTAAATGTTTTCCTATACAACGCCAATGGGGGTTGTGATGATATGTATTTTTAAAAAAATGTTTACAAATTTGAATAATTTTTCATTCAAAAATTTCAATTCCAAAGTTAGTTTGACAGTTCATTGTCCCAGCAGCTGTGTCGATGCGGCTACTTGTATTCTTCTACCATGATATACAGGATGAGATAAAAAACTGCAACTGCAGCCATAATTTTTAATTTTTTTTTTTAATTTTATTGAATGAAAGAAAGAAACATGTCGCAAATAGCATCACATTTTAGAATAAGTTTAGATTTCTTCGAATTGGTCAACTTTGTAACGAATTGTGGCCTTTAAACGGCCAATAAAACCGTCAAAAGCTGTCCGCATGTTGCTCTGCAGTATTTTGGCCCATTCCCGGTGAAGCACTTGCTTGAGCTGATCGACATTTTTGTATTTTTTAGCGCCAATCTTGCTTTCCAAAATACTCCAGACACGGATTGGTATCCGAAGATTTTGGTGGCCTTTAGGCGCTGGAAATGAAGCAATGAAAACAATGAAGAAATGGTGGAATTGGAATGTCCAAGATCTGTGGCCAAAATGTTTGCGTGCCCAAGGCTTTAATACACCCTCCAGAATATTTTCGAGATAATATTCGACATTTATTCTGTTGTCACGGTCGATTAATACGAGCGGAGAGCGACCATCGGTTGTTATGGCGGCCCACACCATCACCATGGGCGGCGCTTGAGTTCTGGTGGCCAACCGAAGGTGCACATGTTCAGCTTACCTCTTTGGCAAGTAAACACAATCATTTTTTTGGTTTACAAACAGCTGGACAACGAATGTTTTCTCATCGGAGAAAACCAAATTCGGCAGTTCACCATTTTCGACCAAGCGAATCAACTCTTTAGCTCTTTTGAGTCTATTTTATTTCTGTTGCGGTGTAAGTTCTTGCACTGTTTGGAATTTCAATGGCTTTCGATAATATTCGGCATTTATTCTTATGCCACGGTCAATTAATACGAGCGGAGAGCGACCATCGGCGGTTTTGCCCTCCCACAACATCACCATGGCCGGTGCTTGAGTTCTGGTGGCCAACCGAAATTGCACATTTTCAGCCGACCTCTTTGGCAAACTGCTGGACAATGAACGTTTTCTCATCGGAGAAAACCAAATTCGGCAGTTCACCATATTCGGCCAAGTGAAGCAACTCTTTAGCTCTTTTGAGTCTATTTTCTTTCGGTTACGGTGTAAGTTCTTGCACTTTTTTGAATTTCAATGGCTTTACACTGATCTCATTTTTCAATATTTTCCGAATGGAATATTGCGATATGTTCAACTCACGAGCCATTTTTCGGACACTGCGACGCGGGTTTCGATCAATTCGCTTCTTTACTTTTCGAACCATTGCTGCTGGTGTTGCTGTTTTCTTCCGTCCGCAATGAAATTGACAGTTTAAATCCCATGGTAGAAGAATACAGCTAGTCGCATCGACACAGCTGCTTGGACAATGAACTGTCAAACCAATTTTTAAATTGAAGATGTTGAATAATAAATTATTGATATGTGTAAAAATTTTTGAAAAAAAAAAACTTATCATAATGCTGTCGTTTAGTAAACTTATAAAAATTTACTTATTTTTGTGAAAACATTTTAAAATTATTGACATGTCAATGTTCTTAAACGTTGATGCATCTACCTGTATTATTTTGCCATATAAAATCCATGTATCTATGTTATGTAAACATGCGTTAAAGCACCTTTAGACTACTAAATCCACTCGATTTCAAATGTCAATTCCGTAGCGTATACGTCACGTACATCATATTCATAAATCCAGTGGATATTATTTGACATATACGTTAAGGAATTGACATTTAAGATCGAGAGGATTACGTAAATCTCAAAATTTCGGCATAAACGCATAACTATGTGAAAAAGGAATCGTTTCAGTCACCATACTTTTTGTTGAGAGAATATAAATAAATTAAATAAAAAAGCTAATTATAAAGAAAAACGACGGCAGGTTTCGAGTGCGGCTCTGGAATCCCTTTTATGATATGTCATGCAGAGACTTGAAGCTGCTTTTGTACTCTCACCTTTCTTCTGCCATGAGTGTACGTAAAAACTATTTCAATCAGAGAAAAATGTCATTAAGGCGCCCAATAAAAAATGGTGTTTTTAACAAAATTTCATTTCCAACCAATTTTCCCTGAACGAATGTTTCATTTTTTTAAGGTCGAAAATGTCGCTTTGTTATAACGTCATGGAATTCCATCATTAATAACTCTATAATTAGCTATATTGACATTTTCGACTTATTTTAGGACACCTTTTGGCTGCCAAATACCTTAGCAGTGAAATTGTAACTGTAGTACACATGACACGGTATATATGTATGTACACGAACTCTTATTACATTCAACTATTTATGGCATTCGATGTGCTGCTCATTTGACTTTGCTGTTGGAAAATACTACCGGAATACAATTCTCCAAAAACAACATGTGTCAGAAATACTCTCCCAAACACATGGGCTCTCCATGTAAATATGTCTCATTGCTTTGCGATAGGGCTGCCTATTGTCTCTTACGTGTTTACATACGGGGCAAGCTTTTAAGAGCATACAACCATTTTTCTCTTTCTCTCTCTCTCTCAAAGTATCACTCAATGTCATCTCTTTCGCTGTTAACGTTTCAACGAAGAAAGAAACACGTGAGTTTATTATTGTTATTATTGCTGTTTCCTTGTATCTGTCTGTTAGTTGTATTCATCATACAATGGCCAACCAATCGCCCGACGTTCTGTCACACAATTTGTGTGCAAGAAAAATCAACAAAAAACAAAACATTTGCTGTCATTGCCATTTCAGCAGAAATTTTCCCTCCAAAATTGCATGTGAGTGTATGTGTTGTGTTTGTCTAAATGCGTGAACCATATTCAATTAGCAGAAATATACATGTGGCTGTGAATATGTGCACTTTGGTGGCTAGTGATAGATTTGAAATAATATTTCACTAAAAAAAATTGACATTTTATTGATTTCTGTTGCTATATATTTTTTTTTGGTTCCTTTCCTTTCTACCACTCTGCTTTCTTGGGGCATTGCGTGTCAACCACAATGAACGTAATTGTTGGCATAGAAGAGAACAATGAAATATTACAAATTACTATTAATACAATTATTTGAACTTTGAATGTTAAACGACTTTTGAATGATTTCAAACGCAATTTTGTTTCGAGAATATTGAAATATTAGAAGGAGTTTCGACCCTTCGTCATCGGTCGAGTTTATGTGTAATTAAGGGGAAATAAAGCTATTTATAGTGGTGGGGTGTAGAAAGAAACGTATGAAGTTGCTGGTTTAAAAGTTAATTCGAAGAATACAATTTGCTTAAAAGGTTCCATCAGACGGAATGTTTTTACATGTGTGCTGTCAATTTTATTGTCCATGTGTATTTCAATATGTATGTCAAAAATACGATTTTACATACGTCTCATACTTTTTGCTATCACCCATTCACATATATATTTTTTTCCTTTGGTTACATTGTTATTACATTATATTTTATAACAAATTTTTATGTTTTACGAATGAAGTTTTTCCACAAATTTAATTATAGTATATATTTACACAACAAACAAACAAAGAATTTTGATTATTCTATTGGTCTGTTCCAGAACTACAAGAATGTAAAACTTGTTACTACAATAACCGATTTTCCCTTTATGATATAGAAAAAATTTGCAAAACTAGTTGATTCTTGCAGTTTCTGGAACAGAGCGTATATATTTGGCATTGGAGGCTTAAAGGTGAGAATACATAAAACGCTTTTTTGACTGTTCATCTACGAAGAAGCCAGCCGATGACTTAAGCCAGTCAGAAAAGCGTTTATGTATTATCATCTTTAGTATTGTGGTATGAAATTAATAAATAAATATTTTTCCATTGAAAGTAGGGTATCTGTGATCGAAAAAGTACATATGAAATTTCCTCGTGTACATGGTAGAAGAAAACAGGTAGATGCATCAATTTTAACGAATTTGAGTAATCATTCATTTAAAATTATCAATTTCAAAATTGGTTTGACAGTTCATTGACGTAGCAGCTGCGACTACCTATATTATTATACCATACTCGTGTAGTTGTACTAATACAACTAAAATGGCGGACGTGTAGCACACGATATGTGCAACTTCTACATATCGAAAATTTGATACTACATTTCATGGTAGAAGAATCGAGGTAGATGCATCGACACAGGTGCTGAGACAATGAACCAATTTTGGAATTAAAGATGCTGCATGAAAACATCGACTTATATTTGAAAAAAATATATTTTAAAATTTTTGACATATCAATGTTCCATTTTTGACATATCAAACGTTGATGCATCTATATGTATTCTTCTACTATAGTACATATGTAAAAAACATTCTGTTTGATAGAGCCCTAAGGTGAAAGTACATAAAGTGCTTTTTTGGCTGGCATAAGTCATAGGCTGGCTCATTCGTAGCGAAACAAAGGAGTTTTAGGTTCACTTAGTTTGATTTTGGCCCTGGGCTTCTTTGTACTTTTCCGAAAAAGCCAACCGATGACTTAATCCAGTCAAAAAGTGTTTTATGTACTTTCACCTTTAAGGTGAGAGTACATAAAAAGCTTGAAGCCTTCGCATGGCATACTTTGTGATATATCATGAAGGGATGCCAGAGTCGCACTCAAATTCTTCCGTCGTCGTTTATAATTTGACATTAAAATGCCTAGCCATGATGCCAAGCTGCTTATGTACCCTCACCTTTAAACTGTTGTGTTGCCATAATACGACGAGGCAAGTCATGAAATCGATTTGATAGAGAGAAGAAGAGCTACCATGTTTATACTGGCTTGAAACCCCACTTTAATTTCAGTAGTTGGTGAAAACAAAGCAAGGTTTACATACATTTATAAAAAAGTTTTCCAGATCAGTATGAAGATAGTAGATCGTTAGTTTAAAATGTTTTCCGGCCAGAACTCTTTATCGCTTCGAATGTCAATAAAGCTTTTCTTATTGGTAAAGTCTTATATATGATTTTTTTCTATATCAAACGAAGAGTCCGGGAACGGAAACAGGTTTTGAGTAAAGAAACAGAACTACTACGTTCATAAGGCTTATATATGATTATTTTCTATATCAAACAAAAAGTCCGGGAACGGAAACACGTTTTGAGTAAAGGAACAGAACTACTACGTTCATACTGACTTGGAAAACCAGTTGTTTTAGGTATATTCTTGGGGTTTTTATCATCTAAATAGATTTAATTGGTTTTCCAAGCCAGTATGAACGTAGTAGCTCGTTTTCTTTACATGAAACTTTATTCTACCTGAACTCTACAAACACGTTTAGACTAACAAATCCACTCTATTTCAAATGTCAATTCCATAGCGTATACGGCACGTAAATCGTATTCAAGGCCGATTTATTGGGTCGTGTGAAGGGCGAATTGCCTAAAAACAGCTGATTTTCTCCTTCGAACTATCAACATTTATTTTAAAGCGAAAATATTATTTTTTCTTCTTTTTGTGGCGAAATGCAAACAAACATAAACACAGCACCAGTTTTATTTCCCAAAAGCAATAATTTTCTTCTGAATTTAAATCAGCATATACAGTTGGATAAAAAAGAATAATCTCACATTTATATTGTACGAGTATTATAAGCATTGCTCTTACCTTTCTTCACAAGTTGATTTTTATTAATTGTTTGTAGCCCATTACACGTTGTTTGGCTTTTTTGACTTTAAGTTCTTTGACGACAGATTGTCAATTCAAGATGTAAGCAAAAGTATTTTGACAGAATGGGTGAAATCAGCTGGGCTAGTCAGACGACCTAATAATTGGGCCATGATCGTATTCATAAATCCACGCTATGGATACGCTATAAAATTGACATTTAAGATCGAATGAATTTCGTAAATGTAAAAATACTATTCGTTTAACGTTTTAAAACTTTTCTTTATATTAAAATCTTATGTATGACTTTTTTTCAATTTCAGGACACAACAACAATACCATGATTACCTTCTAGAACAAAAATCAAATAAGAAACATACAAAACTGGAGGCCTTTCTTAGTAATAACTTATCGTAGACTATAAAACACAGACACACATAGAACGAGACGTAATCCTAGTAGTTGTTATCCAAATCCTCCCCCTCAATAATTGCTCAGCATTCGTAAGAGAATTTCTAAAATAATAAAATAGAATAAAATAAAGCTTTAACAAAATGGTTTGGGATTTTGCTGTTGGTGGCGTGACCGATGAGGTGCCACGCACTATGGGTCCAGAATGTGAAAATTATATGACAAATCGTCGCCGCTTTATTGAAGCCGTACTATTTTGCATACTATTTTTGTGCGTTATGCGCTGGGCCATCAAACGTTTGGAACCCATACAATTGCCCGATGCCAAAGACTTGAACAAACCATACAGCGGCATGCGAATAATTCTCTTGCTCATAATGACAATGATCTTTGGTATTGAGATGGGCTTTAAACTAGCCAATAGATCTGTGATATTTGTTTTAAATCCATGTCATATCCAAACGATAGTGCAAGTAAGTGGGAAATTATGAAAAGTACGTTTACACTCACAAAATCGAGTGGATTTAAAATTTCAATTCGATTGTGTGTACGTCAAATTAAATCGACTCTCAAATCACTTGACGTTTACGCAATTGAATTGACAGCTGATATTCACTGGATTTGTTATGTCTGTACGACGTTGAAAAGGTAAAAGCAGAGACACGTACAAGGATTGTTATAATAATGTCATATGATAAAAAGAGTACCAGTCTCTAGCTATTGTCCTCTATTTTGCTGTGCCCGGATAAATTAAGTAGAGGATACATAGGCAGCTTGGCATCATCGCTTGGCATATTAATTTCGGCATGAAAACTCCATACGGTTAACATTTTTAGCTGAGAATGACACGTGAAAATACATTTCTGGTGTCAGCTACTAATGGCAGCAGTGTTGTATTTTTACACCAAAGTCACGATTTAAGCTTTGATCTGTTTTAGGGTGGAAATACATAAAGCGCATATTTGGCTGGGTTAGGCCTGGACATACATAAAGCGCATATTTGGCTTAAGTCATCGGCTGGCTTCTTCGTAGATGAACAAAGGATTTTTAGGTTGACTTAGTTCGATTTTGGACCTAGACTCCCTTGTTCATTTCCTAAGAAGCCAGCCGATGACTTAAGCCAGCCAGATAAGCATTTTATGTATTCCCACCTTTAGTTTGTTTTAGACACATCATAAAGTATAGCCAGAGTCGCACTCGAATTCTGTCATATTTGTCCCTTATAACTTGACATTTGTATGCCATGCTGCGATGCTATGCTTCTTATGTGCAGTCTTTAAACTAGACAACTTTTTTGCATGTCTCTCTCGCTTATGCCCTTTTCAAGCTCTAAAGATGAGAGTACATCAAAACTATTTTTTTGGACTGGCTTAAGTCATTGGCTGGCTTCTTCGTAGATGAAAAAAAGGAATTTTAGGTTGACATAGTTCGATTTTGGCCCTACGCTCCTTTGTTTTTTTTTTTTTTTCAAAGAAACCAGCCGATGGCTTTAGCCAGTCAAAGGTAACCGTTTTATATATTCTCACCTCAAATCGATTTAGAATATTTCTTATATCACTAATTTTTTTCTAATATTCCAATTTTTTTAGATATATATTTTAGCAGCCAAGCCAAGCAAACTAACAACGACACTGTTCCGTGTACAAATGAATAATTTAAATGGTCCAGTTTTAGCGTTTATATTTCCGGAAGTGGAATGTCGCACCCTACCCTTTGAACAGGCCACCTATTGGATACAACATGCTATGCTGTATATAATTCCTGTTTATGTCCTACGCTCAGGCCTGTGTCAAGTTGAAGATTTCCACGATTATAATTGGTCAATAATTGGTGTTGAATTTCAGCTGCTGTACCATTTTAGTGTTTTAAATTATTTCTCTGTGGTATGTGTTGATTAAAAACAAACAATCCATTGTACAATAAATGCGCGGTAACCTCATTTGAAATAATAATAATATCCAGTTCTGAATTTTCTGTAAATTACCTTATTTAGATCTGAGAAATACCCATGACAGAAGAATACAGGAAGATGCATCAAGGCTTGCGAACATTGATATGTCAAAAATTTTCAAAAATAAGTAGATTTTTATATGTTTTCTTATTCGAGGCCTATCGGAGGTTGTTAAGTTTTAAAAACAATTTCTAGAAATTTGAATAATTTTTCATTTAAAATCTTCAGTTCCAAAATTGGTTCGACAGTTCATTGTCCAGGCAGCTGTGTCGATGCGACTACCTGTATTATTTTACTATGAAAATACTTGGAAAAATTGATATGTCAATAAATTTAATTATTTTTTTAAATATAAGTAAATTTTTATATGTTTTTTATAAGTCATTCGGAAGTTATTATAGTTTGCGTTTTTCAACAATTTTTACAAATTTTAATAATTTTTCATTCAGCATTTTCAATTCCAAAATTGGTTTGACAGTTCATTGTCCCAGCAGCTGTGTCGATGCGACTACTTGTATTCTTCTACCATGGAAATACCTTACAGCTCGACTTATTAAATATGCTATGTTTACACTGAAGCCTATCACGTGCTATTTTATCTATTTGGATCATGGCATGGCACAATGGCACAATACAGCAATGAGCTGTCAAACCAATTTTGGAATTGAAATTTTTGAATGAAAAAATTAAAATTTTTGATGAAAAAATATTGAAATTTTTAAAAATGTTCAAAAACGCCTAACATATCGACCTACGATTGTCGTCGTATAAGAAACATATAAAAATCTACTTATTTTTGAACAAACATTTAAAAAGTTGTGACATATCAATGTTCCTGTATTCTTCTACCATGGATTTGGCCATCATTGCCATTAAGTTTACGATGTGTAAACATGGTCTAAGTCATCATTGACAACATGGTTGCATCGTCACAGCTGTTGGGATAATGCACTGTCAAGCCAATTTTGAAAATGAAATTTGTGAATGAAAAGTTATTTAAATTTGTAAAACTTTTTGAAAAATGCATATTATAGCATACTCCGATTGGTGTCGTATAAGAAAACTTATAAGAATCTACGAATTAAGAAAAAAAAAACATTTAAAAAATTTTGATATATCAATGTTCCCAAGCGTTGATGCATCTACATGTATTCTTCTACAATGGATTTGGCCATCATTCCCATTAATTTTACGAGGTGTAAACATGGTCTAAGTTATCATTGACAACATGGTTGCATCGTCACAGCTGTTGGGACAATGAACTGTCAAATCAATTTTAAAATTGAAAATTTTCAATGAAAAGTTATTCAAATTTGTAAAAATTGTTGAAAATTGCATATCATAACATCTTCCAATTGGTGTCGTATAAGAAAACTTTAAAAAAAAAAAATAAATAAAAATGTTAGCATATTAATGTTCCCAAGCGTTAATGTATGTACCTGTATTCTTTTACCATGATTGACAATGATAATAACAATTAATGCTAGGAACACAATTGGAGCGAACGACGAATTTTTTCGCGGCGTATGTTCGCCGTCAAAAATAAAACACATATGTGTATATGGAAGTGCACACAATCACGGCACCGGCGAAAATTTCGTCGGTCGCCGCGAACTCAATTAGCTTTATTTCTATTTCATACGCCGGCGACCGGCGAACAAAACAGTACAAGGTGGCCATACTTGTACGAATTTTATGTGTTTTAGTAAATAAAGTTACTTTTTACTTTAAAATTTGTTATGGTCACTCTACTATCTGTTACTCGTATAAAAAAACATAATTAATTTGTTTATTTATTTGTGTACTTGCGCCTGAGTGAAGATGGATATCAGTGAATTTATAATAGAGAAGATGGACATAAGTGAAATTATAATAGAGAACGTAAAGAATTATGTGTTCTTGTATAATTCATTGTAGTCAACAAATGAGCAAAAAGTAAACAACTTCATCAGCTGTTTTATAATTTCGTCGGTATTGTGTTCCATACGACGAATTTTCGCGGCTCATTTTGTCGCCGCGTAGGTCGAAATTCGTCGTTCGCTCCAATTGTGTTCCTAGCATAAGAATGTTAAGTCACACAATCATATGTTTACAATTTTACACAGTAGTGAAATTTAACAAGGTAAATTACAGAAAATGCAGAGATGGATATGAATACATCCGATGAAATAAGGGTTTTTTGACGTTTGAAGAAAACTTGATCTTTTTTTTACTTTTCAGAAAACTGGCATTAATCTTAATCATATGCTTTGCGCTGCTGAAAGTGATCCCTTTCAGGGACAAAATTATCGAATTGCTGCTGTGATACATGAGTCAATTCTATGTCCCATATTAAATAAATTAACGGTATATATGTTTGCCGTACCCGGTAGTATACAACATTCGAATAGATTGAGTGGAAATAAAACATCACTCAAAACACAAAAACAAGAACAGCCACAACAATATGAAAAGTTAACATCCAAAATGACAGATTCATCAACATTATTGGATTCAGCAAAGCTGGACTTACAACAAAAACAACAAAAACAACAACAACATAAACCGCCCACTATAAATAATCAATTATATTTGCCTAATGATGGCGATGATGCCACGATGCAATTAAAGCATCGTAATATACCGACGGCAGCAGCAACAACAACAACAGCCACCACACCAAATGACAACAGTAATAGTAGCAGTAGTAATTCCAACTATCCTAGTAGTAGTCATACACCCTGCGATCATCATCACCATCAAAGTGTGTTACAACAACCTGAAACGAAAGACAAAGAAGAAGAAGACGACACTGATTATGTTCTAGAGCAGGATGATGGTATTGAAATGGTAATGTCACCGGTACCTGCTACTGAAGAATATAGAATGCCTACAACTAAAATTGATTAGTATTTAAGCCAACCGATAATAATATTACTAATAGTAGTTTTTTCTAAATCAGCAGTATAATCAACTTTTATCTAAACAACAGATTACTTGATATACAATGCATACATACAATACAATAGTCCCATACTCGAACCACACATGTAACCAATGTGATGTAAGTGATTATAAAAAATATATATATATGATATATTAAGGAACTACAAAAATAAAATGAAATATTGTGAATAATTATATAAGAATGTATTCTATATAACAGAACTAAACCACTATTTCCTTCTTTAAATTTTGCCCCAAAATGATGCATTTTAAAGAAAAACTGCATCAAAATATCTTAAATGGGTTGTTCAATTGTAAAGATCTGTAAAAATTACCAAATAAAAATCCAAAGTGTTTCAAAGTCATGAAGTGTTTTGGCTACACTACAATCTGGGTACAAATATCACTAAGTCTAAACACTGTATAACTCTACCAAGATATCATGGTAGAAGAATATATGTAGACGCATCGACACAGCTGCTGAGACAATGAACTGTCAAACCAATTTTGGAATTGAAAATGTTGAATGAAAAATTATTTAAATTTGTAAAAATTGTTAAAAACACGAATTATAATAACATCCGAATGACGTCGTATAAGAAAACATATAAAAATCTACTTATATTTAAAAAAAAAAAAAAAACATTTAAAATTTATTGACATGTCAATGCTTACAAGCTTTGATGCATCTACCTATATTCTTCTATCATGGTAGAAGAATATAGGTAGACGCATCGACACAGCTGCTGGAACAATGAAATGTCTAACCAATTTTGGAATTGAAAATGTTTAATGAAAAAATTTGTAACAATTGTTAAAAAAAACTCGAATTATAATAACCTCCGAACAGGTGCATCAAAGCTTGGGAGCATTGATATGTCAAAAAAAATGTTAATGTTATTTCAAATATAAGTAGATTTTTATATACTTTCTTATACGACGTCATTCTGAGGTTATAATAATTCGTGTTTTCCAACAATTTTTACAAATTTTAATAATTTTTCATTCAACATTTTCAATTTCAAAATTGGCTTGACAGTTCATTGTCCCAGCGGCTGCGTCGATGCGACTACCTGTATTCTTCTACCATGCAAGATATTAATAGTTGTGTTCCAGAACTAAAGAGTTTCTACTAATTTTGTCACTTTTGTACATTTTGCTCAAGAACTAGTTCCCGTGCTCACAAAAATTGCAAAAAAAAAAAGTTCATTTCTCTTTGAATCAAAATGGCGTTCTCCTTTACTATTTGTATGCTCTCTTTATAACGTTTTTACACAACAAATTTGGGCGAGCAAAAGAGAAAAAAATGTGAAAAAAGCCATTTTGTCATTTCATTGACAGAAAAAATGTAAATAAAACAAATTCGTTAACAAATAATTTTCTATAAATCTGGAAAAGGGAATTTGGAAATCGCAAGCCTAATTGATTTGTTTTTCGGCTCATTTTTAATTTTGCTTGCTTCGTTTCTTTTTATTGTGGACAAAATGTTTTGTTTTCACAAATCAGTTGATTTCTTGCCTGTTACTTATTAGAGCTTTTTTGCAAAAGAGAACAAAACTGTCTTATTCTCTCAGAAAGAAGTTGCTGGAAAATTCCAGCAGGGAAAGTAGCCAGAAAATTATATTCTCATATTCTTCCGATAAAAATACGGCTCGGTGTGATCGAAAAAGTGCGTACGTACCATGGTAGAAGAATACAGGTCGTCGCATAGACACGGCTGCTGGGACAATGAACTGTCAGACCAATTTTGGAATTGAAAATTTCAAATGAAAAATTATTCATATTTGTAAAAATTGTTGAAGAACGCATATTATAACAAGCTCCGATTGGTGTCCAATAAGAAAACTTAAAAAATCTACTTATTTTTGAAATTATTGACATATCAATGTTCCCAAGCGTTGATGCATCTACCTGTATTCTTCTAACATGGTATGTACCTTACTTATGTAATTTACAACTAAAATGTAGTCCATGTATCACACAATATGTGCAAATTCTACATATGGAAAACGTGACGTGTGCAAAAACATATTCCTCTATCAGAGAAATATTTAGAGAGCCTTATTTAAGTGTTAAAGGATCATGATAAAGGTGTAAGTACATAAAAAGCTTGAAGTCATAGCTAGACATATTTTGTGACATTTCGTAAAGGGATTACAGAGCCGCACTAAAATCCTGCCGTCGTTGTCCATTATAATTTGACATTAATATGCCTAGCCATGACTTCAAGCTTTTTATGTACTTACACCTTTATACCTAATTTATATTTGGAGCTCATCTTCTAATTCAAGTGATAATTGGCATATGTTTTTTATAGAATTAAACAATAATGTCATCTGACGTTTTGCATGTGTCCATTGACATACACCACTAAATCCACTCGATTTTAAATCTCAATTCTAAAGCAATGCGTCACGTAAATCTAGTCGGTATTATTTGACGTATACGCTATGGAATTTTTATTCGAAATCGGGTGGATTTCGTAAATCTAAATGAACTTCTTTAAGGTAAGAATACATAATACGCTCTTTTGACTAGCTTAGATCAACGACTGTCTTCTTCGTAGAGAAACAGCGGAGTTTTAGGTTGACTTAGTTCGATTTTGACCCACCGCTTGTTTGTTATTTTCCGAAGATGTCAGACAAAAAAGCATTTTATGTATTCTCACCTTTAGAGCACGTTATTCAACCAGGTCGCCCAGTCTTCTCATGACCGGATTTATTTTAAATCCCATGCGGAATCTTCGTGATTGCCTCTTTGCTACACAATTGTTGTTTTTTGGATTCCTTTTTGGTTGTGTATGTAAACATACATCAGCTGACGGTATTTCTATCTTCCTAAAGGTATATGTAAACACACGAGGTTAACCCAATAATTCTATTAAACCCTGTGGGTTAACACCATCAAATTGTAAATGTACTTTTAAACTGAAATGTGGAAACATAACATGATCACAATATCTATACACATACCTACCTACATTTGTAGTACTTTAACAATTTCTATATTTAAAAAAATTATGTAAAGAAAACAATAATCATAACATCTTATTGAAGCAATACATTTGTAGTTGATCTAGATAATAGTTTTATATATATATATATGAAATTTAAAACAAGTAAATAAACGAATATTCTTTTAATGATCATAATGAAAATATCAAATATAACTTATATAAACTATTTCATGAGTCCAAATTTAATTTTGTTATTATGTTTATATTCTAAGAAAAACATTATGTTGAAAGCTCTCTATAAACATTAAATATTAAAAAATAAAAAAAAAACATATTGACCAACGGTTTCTATTGAAGCTAATGAAAAAATAAGTAAAATTTTAAACAAATAATGTTACAAGTTTTTGTTTTATTTTCAGTTAATCGAACAATAAATAATAACTTATCAAATGACTACAATTATGTTTTATCATTTTTACAAGTCAATGAAAACAGTTATCAGCAGTGTGATTTTCGAACTAGTCAACGACAGAATTGACGACCATTATAGATAATAATAATGTTTCGATTGCATTTGATTTCAGTAGTTAAATGCAATTTTTGTTTTTGGAAGTTATGTCAAAACTCCTTTGCTCTTTTACGAAGAAGCCAGTCGATGACTTAAACCACTAAAAAACTCTTTAAGGTTAGACTACATAAAACGCTTTTTTGACTGGCTTAAAGCTGGGAATACATAAAGCGCTTATTTGGCTGGCTTAAGTCATCGGCTGGCTTCTTCGGAAATGAACAAAGGAGCCTAGGGCCAAAATCGAACTAGGTCAACCTAAAACTCCTTTGTTCATCTACGAAGAAGCCAGCCGATGACTTAAGCCAGCCAAATATGCGCTTTATGTATTTCCAGCCTAAGTCTTTTTCGTAAAAGAAGAAAGGAGCTTTAGGTTGACTTAGCTCAATTTCGGCCCTTAATTTATATTAATCTTCATGTGCTTGCACTTTTAGTGTCCCTTCTTGATTTTTAATGGCTTCTTTGAAAAATGGGTATAGGGTTAAAATCGAACTAAGTCAACCTAAGACTCCTTTGTTCCTCTACCATGGTAGAACATTACAGGTAGATACATCAAAGCTTGGTAACATTAATATGTCAAAAAAAATTTAAATGTCTTTGCAAATATAAGTACATTTATATATGTTTTCTTATACGACGTCATTCGGAGGTTATTATAATACGCGTTTTTGAACAATTTTTACAAATTTAAACAATTTTTCATTCATCATTTTTAATTATAAACTTGGTTTGACAGTTCCTTGTCGCAGCAGATGTGTCGATGCGTCTACCTATATTCTTCTACCATATTCTCTACATAGAAGCCAGCGTATGACTCAGGGTAAAATTAAAAAGATAAAGTCATTTTAAAAAAGCATTCCCAATTTTTGAATTTTCTGTAATTTACTTTGTCAAATTCCATTGCATAGAAAGCAGTTTACCATCTCTGATTCTCTGAACATATGATTACATGAATCTACCTTCTTAATTCTACCATGCGATGACTTAAACCAGTCAGAGAAGAGTTATATGTATTCTCACCATAAGAATGATATAGCCAAAATTGATTCCCGTGATGTTTGTTTGAAGAAAATCTCTCAGAAATATTTTGACAATTAGCTCTTTCCTGTTTTTGTTATTTTTGTTGCCATTTCCATTGATTATTTATGCGCCAAATTGATTAAGTTACTCGTAATTTAGGTACCAGTGTAAAGCTGTCTTTATTATTGGTTATTTTGTTAACGCCGCCATTTAAACAGACGGCTTCGGTATATTCTTATAAGCTCGGTATTTCTGTTTTGGTTACATTAACAATCTCGATAAAGTGTACTAATTTTGCAATAAATATCTTTATTAAATTAATTTTTAACCTATTTTATAAAACTTAACAAAGTATAATTGGTCCGAGAGCCGTTTCCGTACCGGTGTAAAGCTGTCGTTGGTATGGGTTATTAAGTAAATGCCGCCATTTAAACAGATGACTTCGGTTTATTCATATAAGCTCGTCATTCCTGTTTTGGTTACATTAACAATGTCGATAAAGTGTGCTAATTTTGCAATAAATATATTTAATAATTATGCATTAAAGTATTTTTCAACCTATTTTATAAAACTATAGCAGAGTATTACCGGCTTCTCCATTGCTTTATGTTGTCTAATACACCGCAAAACGTTAAACGCCGACATTGTGTGCTACTCCGTTTTTCTGTGACCGCTACAATTTGTTATTGTGATTGAAATTCACAATAAGGAAGCATTAACAATCCATATTTAATTATAGAACAGAGCAAAATTAAAAGCATTAGTCCATTTGGAGAACACGAACAAATAAATAAAAATTGTCTTCATCATTATTTTTTTATTATTAAACATATTCAAACATAATCACTTGAATTGAGATGAAATGTACTTTTTCGCCTCGCCAAACGATTTTGACATTAAAGCTGTCAAGAATTCGCCTGCTAGAAGCGCTTATTATTGTGCCATGGTGAACTGTCAATGAATTTATTCTAAGATTTTTTTTATTTCTTGTCAATTCTTTTGTGCAAAAACAACGGAGAAATGTATAGCTATTCTTGTGAACAAAATGCAAAACAATTAACAAATTTTTCCAATATAATCAATGCGTATGAAACGAATTAAATGAGAAAATTGTGACATATTGTGCAAAGGGAAAATAAATACGTGTAACAAATGAGTATGATGTAAAAACGTGCAAATGTTAAATGATTTTAAAGGAGAAACAAAAAACGAAATGATGAAAAGATAACTTAGCTGTGTGGGCTATTTCGGTGAATAACAAAAAGTCCCAAATGAATATAAGAAGAAAGTGAAGTCATAAAGTTCAAAAGACGACGACAACAAAAATCAAACAAAAAAAGATTAGCGGTCAAAAGTCTATTTTTTCTCGTCGCTTCACAACTTATTGGAAGTGTTTATGGGCTGAAGGCAGAGCAATTTCTTACTGAATTGATAGTAAATTATAATTTCATTGCAGTGCATTTTATTATCGGCTAATGCGCGCGCCTCTGCCGCAGTTGTTGTTCCTATTTTTTTTTTGTTATGTGATAATGACCAGAGCATCGCAACGCATCTAATTAATTTTGCATTGTTTTCTGGTATTTTTGTTCCATTTGCAAAAAGTTCTTGGTTGTTTAAAGTGTATTGAAGTGCGTGCGACGTGCGTATATAAGGCGTAAGGCGTCAGTAAAGCTAGAAATGAAATTCGAAGTTTCTTCCAATTAGAAATATAACACCAAATATCAAGGGTTGTAAACAAATGTGAAAAGTAAAAAAAAAAAACAAAAACATTACAAGTGTCAAAATACATATGATCACCCACTTTGCCACCCAACACCCACAACAACAAATGCATATATTGCATTTTACGCTCTCTGCTTATATCGATTGTGAGAGATTAGATTGAGGCCGTGTGAGAGCGAGATACGGAGGAGAATATTACAAAACAAAAATACTGCTAACCAATCCACCCACATTTGCAAATCAAAACAAAACAAACCCACGAGACAAGACGCAAATTTTGACAACCAAGTTTCCTTAGAAGTGCTAAATAAATAATAATAAAAAAAATAACAAATACAAAGGAAAAGATTCATCAAAATTTCTACGAAGTAACAAAAATAAAAGATCAACAAGTGCTAAAAAACTACCGTCTCTATGTGTTCAACGACGTATTTATTACAAACATTTAACTACAAAATACATGTTGTTTTGTTGTTGTTGCTGCTGTTGATATCCGCAACAACGGCCAATACCTAAAATACGAATTAAAACATTTCTTTTCGAAAAAAGTGGAAAAAAGTAACGAATACATTGTGGTGTGGCATTCATTTCTTGAATATCAAAGTGGTTGGTTTGCGCTGTTGTTGCTGTGACCACCGCCTACAGCCGCAGTTAGCAGTTGATTGTGTGTGCTTTTAGCCATTGCATTCGCCGCGTTTGTTATATCCGTTCTACGCGTTCTTTTTTAATTATTGTCGCCATGTCTATATCTGAACATGCAACCGGCAATTCTTCGATTAAAAGTGCAGCCCCTAAATCGTCGACAACCGGCGATTCAAATGCTGCTGCTGCCTATTCATCTACGTCATCATCATCATCTGCCTCTGCTGCAACAAACAATACCTCGCCGTCGTCCTCATCATCAGCAACTGCCACACAAAAGTCAAAGAAAACCGCAGCCTCTGGCCTACCCGGTGCGGTATCCAATATCTATTACAAACATGGTCTCTTTTTGTCAAGCTATCCCACATGTGCCACCAGTATAGCCATTGTGGCAATATTATTTTCATGGTATGTATGTATATTGTTGTTGTTTTTCTTGTCGTTATTTATTAAGTTTTCTTTTGTTAGACAATATATACAAATTGCCAGTCAAATAGATGTGACGAATTGTTGGTGGAACCAAGAATGTTTATGACTTTTTTGTGTCGAAAATCTGGATTTGAAATTTCCGAGGCTTATGTGCCTTCTAAATATTGCAAGTCTTAGGTTAACTAAGAGAGAGCATCACAATTTGAAAACTATTAAAAAGAACTTTTAACTTCTGCCCATCACAATAAACTGTAACTACATTGTGGCAGAAACATAAGGTTGGTATTACACCACAACCGCCCATACCTTTGTGTACTGCCTTACCAATAAAGTGAAGCTTAAGTCCATTTAGTTCTAGAATTTTTTGTCAATATTCTAGATCAAGCAAATTAGGATAAAGTTGCAAAGCAAATTAGTATAAAGTTGCATTAAAAAATCTGTCACCAGGGACATACCACGGCTTGAAACCCTAAGCCATAGCCACTGCAACTAAGGAAATAAACAGTATTGCCGATCATTTCCCATTTAAGTCCCCCATATTGCAAAATAGCTATGTGGGATTGAAAGAGGGGAATTTTATCGCAAAATCATTATATTGGCATACGATAGGACTATCGTAGTCGGTTAAGGTATGCCATATCATTTACATAGAGATCTGAGGGCAAGTTTGTCATTCCGTTTGAAACACCTCGAAATAAACATTTAAGATCCCACAAAGTACATATATTCTTGATCAGCATAAAATTCTATGTCGATTTAGCGATGTCCGTCCGTCTATCCATCTGTCCGTCTGTGCAAATCACTCTAGCTTCAGGACTTTTGGTATTGAAAATGGGCCATGTAGCTCCATGTTTGTTCCTATAGCCCCCATATAATGGTACCTCCCTTTTTCGGTATTTTGGTGATTTAAGCTGCATTATTCACCGGAAATGTTTCAAATTTGGTATTTGAAGTTCGTAATGGATACTACAGCCTATAACAGAAAAATTTCCGTGCAGGTCCATGCCTTCGTATAGTCCCCATATAACGGGACCTCCCGATATTCGGTACTTTGATGATTTTAGCGACATTGTTCGCTGGAAATGTTTCAAATTTGATATTTGAAGTTCATAATGGATACTACAGCCTATTACAGAAAATTATCCTTGCAGGTCCATATCTTCGTATAGCCACCCATATAATGGCACATCCCGATATGGCATTTTGATGATTTTAGCGACATTTTTCACCGGAATTGTTTCAAATTTGGTACTTGAAGTTCGTAATAGATACTACAGTCTATAACAGAAAATTGTCTCTGCAGGTCCACATCTTCATATAGCCCTCGTATCTCCCGATATTTGGTATTTTGATGATTTTAACGACATTATTCACCGCATTTTTTTCTCAAGTTTCGCTTTTGAATATTGTAATGGCTTATGACAAAAGTTTCCTATGAAGGTCCACGTCGTCTTATAGACCCTAATATAACGGCTACATTCGGCATTTTTAAGATTTTAACGAAAATTTTAACGGATTTTGTTTTCTTTTTTATTTATTTATTTTTTTTTTTTTTTTTTGAAAATTGCCAAATTCGTTCCAAATTGTGGAGGGTATTCAAAATTCGGCCCGGCCGTATTTACTGCTTTTTTAGTTCTTTTCGGGAGCTGAACCAGAGCATTGTTTCTCTCGCCGGCTATGTGGGTAGGGTATTTGTTTTAGGCCAACAATTTACAGATTATGATTTAAAAAAGTGATTGAGTTAATATTCCAATTCAATGAAGTTGGCATGCCTTCCCAGGGCTCGGAAGTACGCTCTGTTGTTTTCTATATTTAAAGGGATTCTCTATGTGGACAATGAAGTAGTAGACCTTTGGCTGACTCTTCAATTATTTTATGGGTTGGGCTTTTGAGCACTGTCTGAAACTGGTTTCCTAATCTAGAAGGGTTCAGCACAGAAGTTACAGACCGCTACCGCTTTCATCATCAGCTTTCGGGTCCTTCCGCATATGCATTAGGTTTCAGAGGTTTTAATTAAATATTATTTGCAAACCGCAGTGTGTTTGTTTTTTTCTCTCGATATGGGGGCAAATCCATATTTTATATATATTTCACATTAACTTATTCATATTTTACTTATTATCAATGAATGTACGTCAGTTTTTTTTTTTTTTTTGTTGATGTACGTCACACATATTGTTCTCCCATATATATATATCTGTTCAATTAATTCGCCTCGATCGGTTTTTTCTATCATTAAAATATTTATTTATTTTTTTGAAGCATAGAATTGAAATTAAAACAATTGTGTTGTCAATAGAGGAAGGACAGGAAAAGTTTGAGATGGTCGAGATTTTGGTTGGGACTTACAATTTATGATAAAATCTCGGTAGTAGATAGGGATTTTAATTTATGGCAAACATCTTCGAACTGAAAATTTTAAAGATAGCTGCGTCTATTGACGTTTACAGTTTTTCTATAACAAGTAATGGCTTGAGAAATGGTTTCCCAACATTCATCTTATCCTAATTAGCAATTTGGGTATCCAAAATAAACCTTGGAAATAAGTTGTACTTATGTAAATACTTCCTTGTATGGCCAAAAAGGAGGTTAATCATATTACAACATCCGATCGTTTACACTGTAGACATATGAGAAACTTCCAAGTAAATACAAATTAACTTGCCACTTATTCATTCGATATGAAAAAAACGTATATCTTTCTTTATATATTTCGACCGGGAAATTCTATTTATTCCTGTATGATTTAATTTTGTATATGTGTGTGGTTTGTTAGCTTGTGCTTGCTTGCTAGTCTTTTTTTTTTTTTGCTTGCATACCACACACATTTTTGCCATAAAACATGTCTTTTCTGTGGGGTTTTTTGTTTGCAGATTTGTTGTCTTTTACTGTGACTTGATTTTCTTCATGTTCTTGCATTCTTATTGTTGTGTTTCTTTTTTGGTCACCGTTTCTTCCTTTATGCGTTTTTATGCCCTACATCTTAAATTGGTGTATTAAATTTGTCATTTCGTTTGCAACCCATTGAAATATTCATCGGAGACCACTTAATGTGTATATAATCATGATCAGGGTAAAATTGTATGCCGATTTTGGTTGCCTCTCTGATAGAGACCAGCACAGGCTTTGACATTTTTCCAAGAAGAGGGTGATATGAAAAAAACTGCAACAAACTTCAGACTGCTGACATTTCTAAGCCACTCGTGCGACAGCTGTTAAAATTATTCCAGTGACAGCTCATTATATTGTTAACAAGCGTACAAAAGCATTTTGGTGAGAATTTTCCAGAAAAAAAGTTATTCATGATGGAATTCAAGCGTGATGGTGTGATTTCTTTATATTCCGATGGAAAACCAAAAGTGGGTAGCGTTAGAGCACTCCAGCATTTAAATGTGAATAAATCTTTTGTGTCTCGTACCATCGCTCGTTACCGTGATACTTGTAGCGTAGCCCGATTCTGGTGGCCAACCAAAGGTTCACATTTTCAGCTGAACTTTTTGGCGATTAATCGAACGTGGCATCAGAATAAATGCCGAATATTATCGCGAAAATATTCTGGAGGGTGTATTAAAGCCTTGGGCACGCAAATATTTTGGCCGTAGACCTTGGACATTCCAACAGAACGCAGCACCAACGAACTCAGCACGCGCCACCTAAGAATGGTTACAAAATGAGGTTCCTCGCTACATTGCCAGCGCACAATGGTCACCAAAATCACCGAATACCAATCCGTTGGACTATTGTGTCTGGAGTTTTTTGGAAAGCAAGGTTGGCACTAAAAAATACCAAAGTGTCGATCACCTCAAGTAAGCGCTTCGCCGGGAATGGGCCAAAATACCGCAGAGCAACGTTCGAGCAGCGTGTGACGGTATCATTTGCCGTTTGAAGGCCATAATTCGTGCCAAAGTTGACCAATTCGTACAAATCTAAACTTATTCTAAATTTTGATGCTATTTCCGACATTTTTTGCTTTCATTCAATACAATTAAAAAAAGTAACAATTATGGAGTTTGACTTTGTTGCAGTTTTTTTATCTCACCCTGTATGAGCATTTTTCGGCTTTTTGGTAGTTCCTGATTTTCGATATTTTTGAGTTTTCTCAACAAATATCTATCAAAATCGGATATATTAAAATTAGATGTTTGAAATTTAGCACAGAGGATGTTCTGTATTAAAAATAGAACATATAAGTCAAGAGGTGAGATTTTCATTATTTTGGAGGTTTTAGCTCCATTTTTCAACCAAATCAGACAGAAGACATTTCGGATTCCCTATTGGTTGTTGTTGTTGTAGCAGTAGTACATGTGTGTGTTTGTGTTCTGCTAATCTGGTTCCAGCTCCAGGTTTAGAAATTCGGCTACTTTAACGGGCTGTAGCCAGAGATCCTCTGGAGTGAGTTGGGTAGGTTTGGCTGAGCAATTAAAAAGGTGTAGCGTATTGTGCGGGCCTGTATCACACGCCGGGCAGGCGTCACGCACATCTTCATCAATTCGTGCCCAATACGAATTGAGGCGACTACACCATCCTGAACGTAATTGCGCCAAAACTACCCTGGTTTGTCTAGGCAGCTGACGTTCTTCGGCTGCAATGGATGGGGGGTGGACTCCGAGGACGGCATTCACTTTATAACTGCTAATAGCATCCGCGACTGCATCGGTGTGAATGCCACTCAGACCTGCCTGATAGGCTTCTTGATCTAGAGGCTCTCTCTTGTAGCGCTGGACCTCCCTCTCTAGATCATGTATGTCCTTCCTGACACGCCTGGGTGGGGGAGAGTTATCCACCATATGATGGTTGGGATGGCTCTCACGGTAACACCCAAGCAGGTACTGCAACGAAAGCATATGATTATGCTGACGTAAGGGAAGGACTTTCGCCTCCTCATGTAGATGGTCCACTGGTGTCATGAGGAGGCACCCTGTCGCAGTTCTCAGGGCAGCGTTCTGGCAGGTCTGGATATTCTTCCACTGCGTAGCACT